GCATGTAAAACTGGTAAAATCTCAATAAGGTCTGCAAACTCTATCAATGTTAGTGTCCTGGTTTTGGTGGTTATATAACATGGTACCATTGGAGGAAGCTGGGTGAAGGGTACATGTAACCTTTCTGTACTATTTTTGCAACTTCCTGTGAATCTATAATTATTTCAAAATAAAAAGTTCAGTTAAAAGATTCATAAGACAAACAAGAAATTTCTGTTAAATAACATTTATGCCAAGATGAGATTTAATTTTTCCAAAGATAGGCTCAAGACATTTAATTGACTTTTTTAAAGTTTATTTTTTTTCGAGTCTTTTCTACATCCAGCGTGGGGCTAGAACTCATGATCCTGAGATCAGGAGTCACATGTTCTCCAACTGAGCCAGCTGGGCACCCTGATTTAATTGATTTTAATTGATATATACAATATAAAAATTTACTGACAATATTGAATAGTAAAGGTACTAAAACAATAAATCAAAATAGTACGAATAAAAATATAACCTAAGACACAATTTTATATGAGGCTTTAAAATTTTTTCTTATGGGGTGAATAGTAAAAATTATTATTCATGGGTGGCTCAGTCGGTTAAGTGTCTGCCTTCGGCTTGGGTCATGATCCCAGGGTTTTGGGTCTGCTTCTCCTTCTCCCTCTGCCCCTCTCTCTCCCCCTCCCCCTGCTCATGTTCTCACTCCCTCTCTCTCAAATAAATAAAATCTTTAAAAAAATTTTTTTCTTACAGAATAACATCAAACTCCAATGTAAGCCTAGCAATTATAAGATCATTATTTACTTCCATTGGCTTCTTGATCTCTTTACATTGTCCTATGCAAACATTAAAATGTTTTTATCTCTAAAATGGAACAATAGAATTTATCCTTTCAGTGTGAGACATGTGCTTGTTTTGTTTTGCTGCACAAATACTCAATTCTGTTTTAGATTAAGCACATACGGATTTCATTTTCACATGAAATGAGAATTTTTTTTTTTTAAAGATTTTATTTATTTATTTGAGACAGAGAGAATGAGAGAGAGCACGTGAGAGGGGGGAGGGTCAGAGGGAGAAGCAGACTCCCTGCCTAGCAGGGAGCCCGATGCGGGACTCGATCCAGGGACTCCAGGATCATGACCTGAGCTGAAGGCAGTCGCTTAACCAACTGAGCCACCCAGGCGCCCCGAAATGAGAATTTTTATCCTTGCCCTTGTTGATCATTAAATAAAAAGCTTCTTCACATATATAAGGAGTTAACAAGTATCAACAAAATGTTGTTTATTGCAGGACACTTCTTTCTCAGAAAACTAGAACTAGGAGCAGATCAGTAAATCTTATCCTGAGTATAGTGTCCTATAGCACTGACCGAGTTCTTCCTCATCTTTCCAAGTGAGGTTCTCAGGCTGAGAGGATTCACAGAAAAGATCCCTCATCTAGTAATACATTTGAGTTTAAAGGAAGAGAAAATTACTATTAAATCTTATCCTGCAGTTTTTCCAGGTGGCCTTCAGTAAAACTTGAAACTTACTGATATTCTTCCTTACTCTGAGGCAAACAAGTGGAAACATTTTTAAGATTTCCTTTTGCAGTAGATCTTTTCAAAGATTATTTTCTTTTAAATCCACTTATAGGGACGCCTGGGTAGTTCAGTTGGTTAAGTGTCGCCTTCAGCTTAGGTCCTGATCCAGCATCCTGGGATCAAGCTCTGCATCGGGTCCCTGCTCAGCAGCAAGTCCTGCTTCTCCCTCTCCCTCTGCCTGCCACTCCCCCTGCTTGTGCTCTCTCCCTCTCTCTCTCTGTAAAATAAATAAAATAAAAATCTAAAAAAAAAATCCACTTATATTGTGGCACCTGGGTGGCTCAGTTGGTTAGGTGTCTGCCTTCAGCTCAGGTCATGATCTCAGGGTCTTGGGATCGAGCCTCACATTGGGCTCTCTGCTCAACAGCAAGTCGGCTTCTCCCTCTGCCTCTGTGATACCTCTCGCTTTCGTTCTCTCAAGTAAATAAAATCTTTTAAAAAAACCAAATATATATTAAAAAATAAGTCCACTTATATTTATTATCTTTACATTGTTTTTACTTAGCAAATGACAAGAATATAAATAGGGGCGCCTAGGTGGCTAAGTCGTTAAGCATCTGCCTTTGGCTCAGGTCATGATCCCGGGGCCCTGGGATCGAGCCCCAGTTCGGGCTCTCTGCTTAGCAGGAAGCCTGCTTCTCCCTCTCCCACTCCCCCTGCTTGTGTTGCATCTATCGCTGTGTATCTCTATGTAAAATAAATAAAATATTTAATAATAATAATAATAATCCCACTCCCCCTGCTTGTGTTGCATCTCTCACTATGTAGCTGTCAAATAAATAAATAAAATCTTAAAAAAAAAGAATATTATAAATAGTATAGCAAGAAAGAATTAATTTAAAATTAATGTTTTATAATACCTATCCTAGAGTTGACAACCAAGCTAGCTGGTTCGTAACTCTGGTTTAACATAGACACCTGTGCCCCTGGAGTAGTTTGGAATCTTGTTTTCTGACATTCTTGTGAACATCTTAAGCTAACTACCAGTTTTTTTACTTTTCTGTTGCTTTTTCATACCCACACCTAATTATATCTTGGGGACACTAAGGGATGTGTCAAACTGCTGCTATTGGCGTTCCTGCATATGTCCATGATATTTTCCTACTTTATAGTAAATGGAATGAAAAAAACTACAAAATCAAACTAAAGGTGCCTTTTTGAGGTTCTGGCATCCATGTTACGACAAACTGCGAAACATATAATTCTTTTTTTTTTTTTTAAAGATTTTATTTATTTATTTGAGAGATGAGAGACAGAGAGCATGAGAGGGGGGAGGGTCAGAGGGAGAAGCAGACTCCCCGCTGAGCAGGGAGCCCAATGCAGGACTCGATCCAGGGACTCCAGGATCATGACCTGAGCCGAAGGCAGTCGCTTAACTGACTGAGCCACCGAGGCGCCCCTGAAACATATAATTCTTTATCACAGCATTCTTGGCACTATAATTTATATATCCTTTTTTGGTTTAGATTAAGGACTGTTAAGTGCAGTCCTTTCTAGAGACCAGGAAACAGTTAAGGTCCTTTCCTGCCTCATAATTCTAAAGCCTTTACTGTTATTGCCATGCTAATGACTTCCTGATCTAAATCTTCCTCTTGTCAGATCAAGAAAAGCACTCTTTGTACCTATTGGAAATGGAATTTTAGTTACATTTCACCTCTTTTATTTATTTTTCAACTTAGATTAAAACAAGCAGAAAGTCGTTTCAGAGAATAGTCCCAAGATTCTATGATAGCATTTACAGGGACTATTTTTAAACTAAATAGGGAAGGACAGCGAATTCAAAAGTACTTGCATTTTATTTCTAGGTGAGTCAACTCCCTTATAAAAACTTTTTAGAACCATATACTGTTAAACCTGGAAAGAATTTTGGATAGGAAACTGAAGACAGAAGACATTAATGATTTGCAGTATTAGTAGCTAAACTAGGACTTATCCTCAGAATGCAAACTTTTTTTTTAAAGACTTTATTTATTTATTTGACAGACACAGCAAGAGAAGGAACATAAACGGGGAGTGGGAGAGGGAGAAGCAGGCTTCCCGCAGAGCAGGGAGCCTGATGTGGGGCTCCGTCCCAGGACCCTGGGATGACGACCCGAGCTGAGGGCAGACGCTTAACCAACTGAGCCACCCAAGCGTCCCAGAATGCAAACTTTATTACAATTAATTGCAAGAGTTGTCACAACCAGAATACGATGTGACTCATAATTGAGCCACTCATTAATTGAAGTTTAAGCCAAAATTTTAATAGCAATTCTCAAAAACTAACCTAGAATTTAGAGTAATGTGCAAATTAAGTTCTTCTTTATATTGTGTATGATCTCCAGGGAAGGAGAGTCTGTGTTAAAGAGTGTTCTGGTTTGTCCTTGCCAAAATTATTTTCTAAATTACCACTCCAGTCATGTGGCTTCTAGTTAACAGCAGTGAAGGTTGTTTAATAGTGCATATTGTCTGGTCCTACAGATTTTTTTTTTTCTTAATTCCTGTATGACCTCAGTTCTTTACTATTCCCATTTTTTTTCAACCAGAAAATGTGGCATTTGTACTATTTTTTTATTATTATGTTATGTTAATCACCCCTATTACATCATCAGTTTTTGATGTAGTGTTCCATGATTCATTGTTTGCGTGTAACACCCAGTGCTCCGTGCAGAACGTGCCCTCTTTAATACCTATCTGTAACCTTTGAGGCACTGTTGAGACTGTGAATGGAATTTATTTTGTAATGTGGATAACTGAATCTCTTTACTTCTTTTTAGAGCTGCCCTAAAAACAAAACAAAACAAAAACCGCAGAACACCTTTATTTTTGTCCAAACTAAAGGTGAATGATGTAATTATATAAAGAGCTGAAATAGCAGGGAACTCTTACTAGTCAAATTTATCCAGAACCAAGCATTAGTATACAAAGCACTTAGCATAGATATTTGGTGATTTAAATGAAAGAATGTGTAAACAAATACATGAAAATGTAGGGAAAAATCATCTGCAGTTTTTCTTTAGCAAATTCTATCTAGTGGCTTATATATATACGCGTATAATGCCTTTAGAAAGAATTTGTACAGTCACTTTGTTCTGAAGCACATAGTGTATGTAATAATGAAGGGAATCCAAAGTGATATCATGTAATATATTTTATATATATCTTCCATATAAAGTTGCTTTTGTAAGTCTAGATTGTTTTACCAGTTTAGCTAATTATCTGAAATCTTTTCAATGTCTTCACTTCCCTCATCTTTCATTTTCTTGTTGTAAAATAAAAGATGTCTTTTAGATGTTTATCAGCTATAAAATATGAGGATTGTATGCAATAGCAGATATTCATAGTTAGAGATCTTCAAATGATAATTATTTTACTTGAATATTATGCTCATGTTGGTTAAGATCCACACATTTTTATCTTGATTTATAGTTTTGTCCTCTCTTCTCCTAAGATCTCAGTGGTTCAATAGCATCCCCAGATGTCAAATTAAACCTTGGTGGAGATTTTATTAAAGAATCTACAGCTACTACATTTCTGAGACAAAGAGGATATGGCTGGCTTTTGGAAGTTGAAGATGATGATCCTGAAGATAACAAGCCACTCTTGTATGTAAAAATAGTAATATATATTTTTAGTTTTTTAGAACTAGTCTATGAGATGATTATATTCTTTCATGTTATTTAAAGACAAGTATGGCAGATCTTAACCTTTTTGGTTAAACTTCTAGGTATTTTTCAATTTTATTAGTAATTAGAAAAATTAAAATAATGAGAGAATGTTTTTAGCCTTTTGAATGGCAAAAATTGAAAGAATCATAATTCTGTTTACCTCTCTCACTTGCGCTTGCTCAAACACACACACATACACATGCACACGCACACACGTTCCAGACTGTTAGGGCTTACTTGGGCCTATAACTATCTCAAGTAAACATTCAATCTAAGTGAAAAAGCAGAGTGCTTGTTGTAGAAATTAAGTTTAAGGCAAATTAAAACTTCGAAAAAGATTAGCACTCCAAAATCTCTCCCATATAGAAATTCTAGAGCTACTGCTGGCGGGACTATAGGGAGTTTTTCATTTTCTTCATAGTACTTGAAATTTTTTGAGTGATTATTATTTGGGAAAAAAAAGTAAAGAATTTAACAACTTGGGAAAGAACCTATAGCTCTGTAAAATCAAGACATTATCAGGTTAATCTCTGTGGTAATTATTGGTAGATTAAGGGCTAAAATGTTTCTTAATATACCATATTTCATCAAATTTAAAACTGAATTATAAGATGCAGTTATTTTATGTTTACCAATAAGGAGGAAACAGTATGTAAGGCAGCATAAAGCTAAGACATCAAAGGGCTGTCTCCTTCGTGTAAGGATAAATGAGAAATAACCCACCATACAAAAAGAGACAGCAAGGATGTTTGCTTATCTCAATTTGCCAGTGGGTGGGGTGTTGGAAGAAAAATTGGAGAATGGAAACCCCATACCAGTTTTCCTATAGGATTGCAGTCTGAATTATCAGTATGGTCAAGAAGGGCTCAAGCAGAGGACTCTATTTAAAGTTGTCCCAAAGTAGTAGTGCCTCCAGGAGACTGGAAAATGGAAAGGCAGATATTGGAAGCAGTTGGCTTCACTTCAGGCTGACAAGATAAGACACCAACAGTTGTGACAAGCATCCTGATTTTAGAGAGGTTAAAATGTTGAAAATACCATGGAATGAGTGAAATACTGTACTTCAAATGCAATGCTTTGTTGACCAATGGAGATGGCACGGTCATATTTAAACTTTTCTTAAATTTTATTGCAGCTGTTTCAGTATTCAGAAATGTATGCTTTTTAAGAATTTTTATTTTATATTATAGGGAGGAATTGGATATCGATCTAAAGGATATTTACTACAAAATCCGGTGTGTTTTGATGCCAATGCCATCACTTGGTTTTAATAGACAAGTGGTGAGGGACAATCCTGACTTTTGGGGTCCTCTGGCTATTGTTCTTTTCTTTTCCATGATATCATTATATGGACAGTTTAGGGTAAGTATATGTTACTTTATACAAATTTGAAATATTTTAAGAGTTTTAAAATTAAAAATAGCCAAACATTAACTATAATGCTACATATGTTTAAGAAATGCTTTACTTTTACCCATTATTTCTAACTTGTTCATCTCTAGAACTTTTTTTTTTTTGAAGATTTTATTTATTTATTTGACAGAGAGAGACACACAGAGAGAGGGAACACAAGCAGGGGGAGTGGGAGAGGGAGAAGCAGGCTTCCCGTGGAGCAGGGAGCCCGATGAGGGGCTCGATCCCAGGATCCTGGGATCATGACCTGAGCCAAAGGCAGTCACTGAATGACTGAGCCACCCAGGTGCCCTTGGAACTCTTTTTAATTAAATAAGTGGGGAGTACTTTAATGCTTTCCAAACTTTTACATCATCATTCACATAGAAAGTATTTATAACGGTATTACAACTGGAGTAAACAGAGTAAACAGGGACTACTCTCAGCTGAGTGGAAGTGACCAGTGACTAGAAGTGACCAAAAGGGCTGCCCTTGCCCTTTATGATTTCCCTAAAGGGATGAAGAGTTTGAACACAGTACTCATAACATGTTCTTACCTTTTATTCATTTTTAAAATAAATATTTTAGGGGCTCCTCGCTGGCTCGGTCAGTGGAGCACGTGACTCTTGGTCACGGCATTGTGAGTTCGAGCCCCACGTTGGGCCTAGAGCTTACTTTAAAAAATAATAGTAAATAAATATTTTAATAAATAATGACAAGGATTCCATCAGAATTTGTTTTTATGTAATACTTTGTTCTTCTCTCAGGGGCTTTATTATCAAAACACAACATACACACATTACTCCTTAATCCGTAGTTTAGGGAAGTAAAAAATAACTATCACTGAATGATTTGGAAATGAATTCATTTCTTGTTGCTTCTGTAACAAATTTCCACAAGTTTTGTGACTTAAAACAGTGAAAATTTATTCTTTTACAGTTATGAAAGTCAGAAACTCAGAATGAGTTTGAAGGAGCTAAGATCAAAATGTCAGCAGGGCTGGTTCCTCTGTAGGCTCCAGCACAGATTTTATTGATCACCTCTACCCACTTCTAGAGGCTGTCAACATTCCTTGGTTTCTGGCGGCACTACTACAACCTCTGTTACCATGGTCACATTACCTTCTTCTCTACTGTAGTCAAAACTCCCTCTGCTTCCTTTTTTTAAGGACAGTTGTGATTACATTTAGTGCTCATTTGGATAATCCAGAATAAACTCCCAATAGCAAGATCCTTAAGGTAATATAACAGTAGTCTTATTAATATTTACCTTAGATCAGTAGTTTATATCAGGTATTCTCTTGTAAATATGAGATGACTTGAAGTAAAATGGGGATTCTGGTCTACTACTCACCACTAATCCTTCATCTAGAGCATCTCTAATTTTATCTATTTTGCATAATCTTTGATTTGAACAAAGGGTTGTAAGGCTAAAAACAGATTACTACCTCCATAGAACGTCGCTCAGTTTGGTTTTACTTGATGTTTTCTATGACTAGATTGGGGTCATGAATTTTTGGCAATGATACTATTTTGTGTCCACCTCAGTATACCATCAAGGAGTATGTGATATTGATATATCTTTTACTGGTGCTGAGGTGGTATCTTCCCAATTCCTCCACTATAAAGTTGCTATTTTTCCCTTTTTAATTAATAAATAAATATCTTATGGAGATACTTTATGCAGACATTGTGTTTGTCATCAAACTTTAGCTCACTATTGGTGGATCTCGAGTTCAATAGTTATTACTATAATGTTTACTGAATGGTGGTTTTCTGTTTTCCTTATTCCTTCCACATGTATTGATTGGTATTCTCTATGGAACAGCTATCCATTCTTTGCCATTGCTTAATTATTTTTTTATTTATTTATGTCAGTATGGAATCATGAATATTTATTTTACTTTCTGGATTATAACCCAGTGCTGTCATCATTTATTTTCTTGCTGAGATTATTCCAGCTTTAGCCACAGGGAACTCCGTCAGGTTAGCTTCTGTGTCCTTTTGACATCTTCCCATTAGTTTTTTGAGCATTTCCTTTCCTTCTAACTCCACAGTGTTCTGGGCTCATCTTTTATCTTCCCTGCCCCAACCCTGGAATCAATTATTTATCAAAAGAATCCTAGTTCCTTTTATCAGCGAATGATATTTAGAAACTAGGATCTGGGCAATAAGTATGCTTATTTTGCTATTTGGGGCTTTATTATTTCTAGACCCTCCAAGCAGACAAAACTTGGAAACAGAGGCATATATCATTATCACACTAAGTCTTAGGAGTTAAAATTGTCTGAAACATCTCCCATATTCTATCACTTAGATACATATGTAATTAATGTAAATTTTAAAGACCTCGGAAGAAGACCTATACCTTCTTTCAGGGATGAATTTTCCTTTCATGATGTTGTAAACCAGAGGTTTGGAAGTAAATACTTTGTTCTTTTTTTACAGTAATATTTGATCATAGATCTTGAAATACTGAGATTTCCTTAGGCAATTGATCATTGCTAAATTTTCATTTTGGATGTAAAATTGTATTAACACATTGCATTCTTACTAGGTTTTGGAAAGATCCTGGGAACTCAAACTATAACCTGCAATTGGATATGCCAAACTATCTTATATTAGCAGAGAATTGACTTCAGGGAAATTATCAGCTTATTTTGTACAAAGATATTAACTGCATGAATTTTTTTTTCCCTTAAGGTGGTCTCATGGATTATAACCATTTGGATATTTGGTTCCCTAACAATTTTCTTACTGGCCAGAGTTCTTGGTGGAGAAGTAAGTAGTTAATTGTGAAAATAGCCTTTGTTTCTTATCATAAACTTTATTTTTGGTATTGTAGATATTATCAATAGCTATATTCATCATAACTGTTTCTTGTCCCAGAATTGGTTCTAAGTTATACTACTTCCCCTAAGTGATAACATACTGGTATTGTGCATACTCAATAAACATTACAAGGAAGGAAGAAGAAAGAAAAGATCCCATACCACTCATAAGTAATTTAAAGCTTTTTAGGGAAGCATATAATTTATTTTCTAGTATAGCAGTTCTCAAACTTTTGATCTTAGGTCCCCAAGGAGATTTCTTTGTGTGGGTTTTATTTATCAATACTTAATCATATTTGAAATTAAAATAAAAATTTTAAATATATATTTATTCATTTAAAGATAAAACCAAATATATTTTAACATAAGTAATACTTTTTTTTTTTAAGATTTATTTATTTATTTGAGAGTGAGAGTGTGATGGAGAGGGGCAGAGGGAGAGGGAAATCTAGAATCTTAAGCAGGCTCTGCACTCAGTGCAGAGATCAAGCCAATACGAGCTTGATCTGACAACCTGAGCCAAAACCAAGAGTCGGACGCTTAACTGACTGTGCCACCAGGTGCCCTGTAAATAATACATTTTAAAGAAAACAACTTTTTCAAAACAAAGTGGTGAGAGTGGCATTGTTTTACATTTTTGCAAGTAGCTTTAATGTCTGGCTTAGTGGAAGCTGGTTTCTAATACCTGCTTTCTGCATTCAGTCTGTTATGATACATTGTTTTGGTTAAAGTATATGAAAAAAAGGAGGCATTAAGCCTATGTAATTGGAAAAGGAACAGGTTTTTTTTTAAGATTTTATTTATTTATTTGAGAGAGAGAGAGCGCACACACACAAGCAGGGGGAGGAGTAGAGGAAGAAGCAGACTCCCCGCTGAGCCCATCTGGTCTCAATTCCAGCACCCTGTGATCATGACCTAAGCCAAAAGTAGACGCTTAATTGACTGAGCCACCCAGGTGCCCGGGAGGAAGAGTATTTTAATAGTTTTTTAAGACGATTGTGGATATTCTTCTCTGAAACTACACCTACATTCAACAAGTAATAGTTTCTTAAAGGTTTGTTGTAGTAAGGAATCTCAAACAATATTAATGAACTTTTCACACTCTGTTTCATTAAAATTTACTTTGGGTGGATCTTTTTACCCATGCGTGGTCATTTGGAAAACACTAGTTCATTGAGTTTTGTGTAAATCTTTCAAATGTTGACACGTCTTACTGTACAGTATCAGAAAATCTCATTCATTAATATCACCACCATCTTTAAGTAGATCAGACTAAAGTTTATTTATTTACTTTTTTTAAAGATTTTATTTTAAAATCTTAAAAAAAAGAACATGCTTACAGATACCCAACTCTGAATAACCATAGTTTGTCTTTCATTTGTTCTTTCAAGTAAATATGGTGTTCCATGGTAAACACATCTAATTAAACTCTTCACTCAAACAGTTTTATAAGTGCTTTTCCTTGGGATAACCATTGAACCAGAATACAACAGAAATGCTTTCTATAGGAATGCCTGAGTGGCTCAGTCAGTTGAGCATCTGCCTTTGGCTCAGGTCATGATCCTGGGGTCCTGGAATCGAGTCCCGTGTCAGGCTCCTTGCTGAGGAGCTTCTCCCTCTGCCTACTGCTCCCCCTGCTTGTGCTCTCTCTCTGACAAATAAATAAAATCGTAAAAAAAAAAGAAATGTTTTCTATGTACTTCACATTTGTTGTACAGAATATTGAAAAGACATACTCAAAAGTTGAGATTTAATAAAGTTAATCATTTTAACTGTTTCATTAAGGACATTCTTAAGTGAAACTAGCTTTTTTTCTTCTTTTTCTGTGATTGTGTAGTAGTGAAGAGTACAGAAACTACTAGTATAGGGCACCTGGGTGGCTCAGTTGGTTAAGCGACTGCCTTCAGCTCAGGTCATGATCCTGGAGTCCCTGGATCAAGTCCCGCATTGGGCTTCCTGCTCGGCAGGGAGTCTGCTTCGTCCTCTGACCCTATTCCCTCTCAGGTGTTCTCTCTCTCTCATTCTCTCTCTCTCAAATAAATAAATAAGATCTTTAAAAAAAAAAAAGAAACTACTAGTATAGTTTGTGCTACCTTGAAAAGTAAAGTAGTACATTTTACCCACTGTTGATTTTCCCTGTTAGTACCAATATGAACCCAACGAGAAAAGGCAAATAATGTTTTATTATTTTTATAGAAAATAGTTTTGACCTTCCACTCTTCTGGAAGAGTCTCTGGGACGCTCGGTGGCCATGAACCACACCTTCAGAACTGCTGCCCCATTAAAAAAGACTTTGTGAATTACTGTAAATTGTGAATTACTCTAAACCTAGGAATTCTAGTGTTTTGTGTTTTTTTTTCCCTAGTGGTTTATTCTGTGAAGAGAGTAGAACAGAGGGTTGCCAGGCAGAGTTACCTTGTGGGTGCTGACTCCGTGAACATTGATTGCTAAATGCAGAGACTTTGAGCCCTTTTCTCATATTTGGTAGAAAGATCTGCCAAGTCTGTTACTTAGCTCTCGTTCATCTGCTTTCCAGCTTCCAAAATTATGTGTTGTTGTCCCATCTTCTGTTCTTCTGTTTAAGCCTCTTTTTTTAAAAGAAAATTATGTCATTTGGGCGCCTGGGTGGCTCAGTTGGTTAAGCGACTGCCTTCGGCTCAGGTCATGATCCTGGAGTCCCAGGATCGAGTCCCGCATCGGGCTCCCTG